CTAGAGAAGGCCCCTCCACTTCTAAGGTCTTACCTAGAAGAGGATACTGCATATCTAACAGTTCCACCAAGGTCAAGGAATAATGGGGCCATGGAGCCCATCGTGCCATTCATTTTAAACTGAATTTAGCAGAGAATGCAGGCAGTGTTCTCTTGGCCACTGAAGCCCACCAACCACTTTGGCAACATTCCAATTAACCCCATCACCATGAAAGTTTGCAATCCTGCCTCAAATTTCCTAGAGACCCATATCTGGATGTCATTTTACCACTATACCCCACTGAGGTTTTCACCCCTCTACAACTGACCTCAAAGAGTTTAAGATCTTTTAGTTCTACATTATGTAAGTGGAGAACTTCCCATACCATCTAATCCCATGCTATTCAAAACAGTAGACCCACACTCCTTTAGGTACCAAAGAGACAGTTAGACAACAAATTTAAGATAACATTTAAGAGTCAGATGCTTTAGCAGTGCATTTTGCTGACCATGTTCCTGGCTCTGGCAAAGCTATCAAAAGCAGCAGTTAGCAGTGTCAGGCTAGGAAGAGCCTGGGGTTTTAATGATGCCCCAATAGAAGCTGCCTCAATCACAGGTTATAGGACAATTGTATTCCTAAAGGACTTTAACTGTACCCCTAAGCCTCATTATAGCAAGATGGCTCCTTGGCGTAGAAAGTTCCAACTCTATTATAATCTCCAGACTGTTTCTGACACCAGAGGCTGGAAAGACCACAGTTTGATGAGGGCTTTCTCTCCAGATCTCTAATTTGCAACCTCTTTGATACGGCTCCATACCTAGCTAAACACCCATTCCCCCAAAGGACTAACCTTTCAAAGCACTGCAAGAAAAAGGGCTTAATAATTACCAATAGCATTGCTAATAACAATGCTGCCTTATATTCATGAAACAGCCATAATCAACATTTGATAAAAACTACCCTTCCTATGTCCCTGTAGGGAAGCCAGTATTTTAGGGCAACCATGACTACTGCCAGCTCTCAATGATCTGTTCAAAAAACTGAAAGGTAATGAGAAAAATTCAAAACAGAAGATATGCCTAAAGTAATTTCCATCTGATTTTAAAATGTGTTCACTGCAATTTGAGTTGTTAGATTGAGAAGAGGGGGACCTAGGGAGGAGGGGGAACAAATTTGCCTAACAGTTAAGCTTTTATGTATATTCAAATTAGCTATGTCTACTGAACACATGTCACCTGACAGCAGTGGGGGTGGGCAGTCTGGATTCATATGTGCTGATCTTCCACAAAGACTGAGAACTGACTGGAAACAGATGGTCCCCTTTCCCAGGATGGGGATGTAGCTCAGTGGTAGAGTGCTTGCCTAGCACATGCCAGGCCCTGGGTTGGATCCCCAGCACCAGTGGGATGTGGGGGGATGGTCCCCTTTCCTCTAAAATACTAGCAGGGATATAGGCTTATTAGTTACTTTCTTTAACCTCAGGGTTTTCTGAGGAGGTATATATTACACACATTTAAACTGCTCTTTATGTAAGAATAATGGTCAGGTATATTACTTAGGACAAGGGTCGGCAAACCTGTAAACTGCCACACAGTGAGTATTTTAGGCTTTGTGGGTAGTTTCTATCACAACTACTCAATGCTGCCACTGACAACATGAAAACAGCCACAGATCATACCTAAAGGAAGAGTGTGGTTGTGTTCTAATAAAACTTTATTTACAAAAACATGTAGCATGTAGCCTACAGGCTGTAACAAGCTACTGGTTTTAAGAAGGTTCTGGTGGATAGAGAAGGTTCCAAGGCAACATTTGGCTTCAGCCAGTTAGCCCCAGAAGAGAAATAATTAGCAAAGTTTGATTAAACATTATCTTCATGGGGTTGCAGCTGTAGCTCAGGGGTACAGTGCTTGCCTAGCATGCACCTAGGCTCTTGTTTCCATCCCAGGACTATAAAAACAAAACAGAAACCCATTATCTTCATTCTAGGGCTAAAGAGACAGAAATACCAAATAGAATAGGTAAGACTGAAACCCAGAAAAATCCACCTCTCAGCCCTGATCATCAGTGGTCCTGGAAGAACCAGTCAGCAGCCTCTAACTGACCTAAGACACAAAAGAGAATTTAAGGGGCAAGTACAGTAAGAAATTTATTTTGGGTTTCTATTACCCACTAGTGGTTTCTTAGGTTTGACYCTCATTTTTCTTTTCACTTTCTTAGCCTTCCTCTCTCATAGCCCAGACTCATAAAAATGAAGTCATTCCTCGCTTTATGAAGATGTCTCTTGTGGATAAATGGTTGCAGAAGGTAAATTCCACTCCTCACGCCACAACCCTTTTTACAAGATCTAATATATCTTGTCAAGAACACAGTAGGGTGTGCAGTGTGGAGATAACTGCACAGCCTGAATGTTACATCATTTTGGGATGAGAAACAGAAACAGTGACGACACTTGATTGTTCCTGAAACCTAGTCCCAGCTCATATGCCTTTTTAAACAGTTGGGTTTCGGAGCCCTGTTTAGAAAGCTCATTTTAAAAGATGAGGGAATAAAAACACACAAGGAGCCCTGAAATTCTGAAACCTGCAGTACTGGTTTCAGACCAACCTAGGTTTGCTCTTTGAAGCCTGAAAAGGCAATGGGCTCTGGCCAACAGTGCTCTCACCTTGGCTCTGCCAAGGGAATAAGCAGCAGCAAACATTTCTTAATAGAACCTTCTGTGTGTCAGTCACTATTCTAAGTACTTTATGAACTCATTTGATTCTTAGGATGTAGATATTATTACCCACAGATAAGGAAACTGAGGCACAGAAATTAACCAACTTTCTCTAGCCACAGCTAGTAAAACCTGGATTCAAAACCCAGGCATTCTGATTCTCAACACCAAGGGATTTTCCTCCATCATGTATCTCTTACTGGCCTAGAGGGAACCACCCCTGCCACTTCCCAAAGCAATGGAATGAAAACAACCTTCAACACGGAGGCTAAAGTTAACATGCAGAAGATCTGATGTGCCAGGTACATTCCTCTAATGCCTGGCCACAAAGAAGTCCACAGGCTCAGGCTAGTCTTTCCCTCTACTTTTTTCTTTCTCCTACCTTACTGCAGATAATCCCACCACCCACTAGGTAAATGTCTTATTAGTACCTCTGGGACATTAACAGGTGGAGAAACCATCAGCCTAATACATAACAAGAGATCTTTCGATTTGCCCTAAGGTACCTGACAAGCTATGCTGAGTTCTAGCTTCCTGTGTTTTATTAGTACCTTAGGACCCCTGATGTTACAAAAGGAGCAAGCCATGTAAAGAATTTAGGCATCCAAACCTACACTCTTCCCCTCTRCAGATCATCCACCACTGTTTTTCCTTTTAATGTTAGCTCTAATTGGAGTCACAAAATAACTGCTCTCAAAATATGATTGCTAATCAATTTCTACAGCACAGGCAAGCTATCTGTTGTTGATTTCTATTAAAAGTGACTAAGGTTCTGGTGCTTGTTGTTCCACTAACTTCCCATGGTTTTAAGGAAGCCCAAACAAAACCAACAGGTTTGTAGTCTTGTGGTTTGCTTTATAGCTCATGATAGGCATGAGTTGTCTGGGCATTGCCTTCTTTTACACCACCAGATTCTACAATTACTTTTATTACTCTGTCACCATCTTGCTACCAGATTTGACCACGTTTCTATGTTCTGAGATGTGATGCTAACACAGTGAGGTCCAAATAGATTTGGGGATTTTCTACCTCACAGACTTGATTAATCTCCTTTTCTACCAAGTAAGGCACGGTAACAGCTATACTTTATGGATGGGAATGTGCAGCAACTAAGCTTTGTAATCACCAAAAGCTCAAGAGATTCTGGTTTAGAGCATGTCATTAACTGTTAAGATGGCAGGAACCATGACTTTCATACATTTGGTACAGACTCAGGCTTTGGAAGTGTGCAATGAATGATCTTTTCACATCTGGTGTGAATCAAATGCAAGCCTCACTTTCAACTTATTGCCAACCTCCTCATGCAAGTAGGTTCCTTTTCCGTTCCTAAGTGCCTGCATTTGTGGGTCCCGTCACAGCTTTGAGTGTGAAAGCAAAGTTAAACTTGCTCCTCCCTAGTTTCCCCACACCCACATCAAGCTGCTATTAAGAAACTGTTTCGGTGAAGTTCAGAAAGTGGGGTATTTGCCACAGCGTACTTGAATGTAGCCCTCACCCCACTGCCACGTTGGCCGGCAATGCTCTGGACAAAACCACCTGGTTGGGGGGATGGGCAAACTCCCCGGGGTTCTACACACATGCACACTCTACACGGGATGGTTGGAATGAGACAGCCATATCAAGCAGGTCAATGATCTGGGAACAACTTCCAGACCACACTAAGAGGAATGTAGGGAGAACTGAGCGATTGCACTGCAGTAAAAGCCGTTAAACTAACTTATTCCAAAGGATTGAAACTAAATCAGCTCCCGGAGGTGGCAAAAAGGAAAGCGCACGTGAATGCGTGGAGAAAAGATTCAGAGCTGTAGAGAGGGATGCTGGGGCCAAACTCAAGCTGGAGAAGTAACACATGGCTCCACCGGGCTCTACACTACGCCCCTCCCCCTCCCCCTCCCCGTGCAGACGTCCAGCGCCCACCGGCTCCTAGCTCCCAGCGCAGCCCTCCGCACAGGGCGCTCCCATCACTCGTCATTCCTCACACCTCGCTCCCACTCCCTGCATCTTCCACTCACCCCCATACGACACCTCTGCCCACTTTTCGGTTACGCCCCCAAACCAGCCTCTATCTGCCAGGTCCCTCCCCTCACCTCCTGGGCCAGATTCCCTGCACACACGGTCCCGGCGCTGCACCCCAGGTTCACAGCTCCTCGTTCTCTCTCCCTTCTCCCTCGCAGACTTTATGTGCTCCCGTTTCTCTTCCCTACTCCTCTTCCACTTCCCCCTCACACTTCTCCCCGTGCCCCTCCCCCCACCGTGCGCCCCCTCCCCCAACGGCGCCTCCCCAGCACCCGCTCCAGGCCCGGCTCACCTGCGCGGCCACCCCCGTCCCGGCGCTGATGCGGCTGCTGCAGCTGGAAGGGGACTGTGGCCCTGAGCGGCTGCAGCCCGGCCCGGGAGGAGCCGGCGGGGACTGGTGGAGAGCAGCCCCGCCGGAGCCCCCCGGCMCCTCCGCGCCCGGGTCCCCAGGCACCTCCGCCTCTGCCGCCCGCTGCGGCCCCTGCCATCGCCCGCCCAGCCGCCCGCCTGCCTCGGCCCCAGAGCGAGCCCCGCACAGCCCCCCAACCCCCGCGGCCGCTGCTTATCTGCCCTACGGGGCGGAGACCGGCCCCCAGAGCTCGGAGCTCTAATTGGCGTTCAGAACCCCAGACCTCCCCTCTCAACCAATCCACAGCGGCCTCTTCCTTTGACAAGGCTGATTGGTCGCTGTGCCTAGCGATCCAAACCAAGACCCCACCCTCACCCCACCCTCTCCTGCTTTCCTCTGTCCGAGAGGCCGTGATTGGTCCATCAGGAAGAAGGCTGGTTCTCCAATGCCACCAATGAGAAGGCTCAGAAAGGGGGAGCGTCACACCCAGTCCCAGGTAGTATGCAAATACGGTGTCACGTGACGTCAAATGGTACTGGGTGTGGGGCCGGGTGTAGGGCGGAATGAATCACTAGTGAAATCTTCATGGGGGGCAGAGTGTCAAACTTTAAGCGGTTGACTCCCCGTAACACAGAGAAAACAATGATTTGTAAAGGTATTACATTTAGTTTAATCTAGAAACCTCATAGAAGTTCAGTGCAGCTTGCAAACTCCACACTAAGACTCTATAAATTAATGCAAAGTTTGCATACCGTTTGCCTGCCATTTGCATTGAATTCGTGCACTTAATAGCTACCTTGCCTCGAGTGACAAACACATCATTTGTCTTTCTCCATGTTTCCAAGTTCCTACTTGGGGTTTATCCAACCTTAAAACAAAACAAAACAAAACAAACAAACAAAAAAACAAACAGCTGTTAGCCTGCAAATTAAAATGGGACTCCAAAAGGGAGCTGGGAATTTCCCTTCTGTCGTACATTCTAAGTCTACCTCAGCAGAGTGGAAGGAGCAAAGTGACTGAGAAACGTGCTCAAGTTTGCACAATAACTCCACTTTTCCCAGTTCAATGTTCTCTGACCTACAAGTCAAAATGAGATTGGATGGTCTCCAAAGAGAATGCATGCGGTTATGAAAAGCACAGGCTACAATATATATGTGAAGGTATTTGGTAAAGAAAACAGCATTTAAGATACTATTAAAAATCATTACTCTTAAAAAGAAAAAAATAATACACACACATATATATACATATATTACTCTTGGTATTTGTTAACCATTTTGTTCTATATATGGAAGAAGCAAAAGTCAGTCAACCTGGGTTGCTGTGATAAGGGACCATTCAAATAATTGGATAATTCCCTCTAGATTTATATTTAGCTATAAATTCTATTTTTGATCTTACTTCAGATTTATCTTTCTATTTCTGTTTTTGCCTAGTTTAATGTTAAAAGGAAGGTATTCCCTGAAGCCACATGAACTAATCAGAGAAAAGGAGGTAAACTGGTAGTATGCTGTGAGAAAGGAGAGGTCATTTTGGGATTAAATACTGAAAGCAGATAATACTCAAAGTGGAAATTCAAGAGTTGGTTGAATATTAAAATCAGCCTACATACACAGAACAAATCAAGCAATAAAACATTCTGTAGAAAGGCTTTCTTTGCAAAGTCAGTAATCTCATGGGTTTGAAGGATTTGCTTCAAGATCTGACATACAAATTCATTTTTCAGTGACTGAAGAAATTCTGTACTTCTATAAAGAGGACAGACTTATCAAAGATTTTATGTACAAAAACTGCTGAACTTACAAGAACTCTGTCTTCATAAACTTAGCTCAGTTTTAAAAATAGCCTGCATTCATATTGTTTCTCAATAATTTAGTTCAAAGTTTTTATACACTTTAAAAAAATCCTCATGATGATCTGGAAGAGAAAAAAATTCTTACTGTAGTGTAAGTAGGGAAACAGGTCCTTTTGATTCCTATCTCAAATCTCTAGTATCACTGGTCTTATTGAACCACCCTGCCTCACATCTTCATTAATAAAATCAGTAATGATAGTAACTAAGATTCACTGAATTTCTTTCTCCATACTAGGAACATCTTAAGGACTGTCTATACATTATCTAATTTAATAATGCCACACCTATAAGATGGGTTATTAGTTCCTCTTCAATGAGACTTCAGAGAGAAGTAGCATGCCCAAGGCTACCTAGGCAGCCTAACTCTAGAACTGAGTTCCTAATCTCTATGCTTGTAAAACTTTCTCATGAAACAGAAGGATTACTATTTATATTATATAAACAGCCTCCAAAGATGCAAATCTGGCTATGTTAAAATTAACATTTGTCTAGTACTTTACAGTATTCATGTACAGCATCTCATTGAATCCTCACAATAAATGTGTAATGTAGAAAAATGTAAATATTATATTCTTGTCTTCATTCTATAGATTAAATCACAGAGGCTAGATGACTTACCCAAGATTGTCCACTTAGTGGTAGATTTAGGACTTACTGTCTAGGTCTTTTTACTCCAGATTCAAGTTCTTTCCCAGTAAACACTCAATTTCTAGACATTAGAACTGCCTGAAAACGAAAGGGTGARTTTGATGGTCTATTGAAATCTGTTTTTTACTTGACAGCTTTTACCATTTTAGGATCTCTCAACTTGTAGAATTTTAGATGATCTTAGGAGATGAAGAGTGCTTTTTATTGGATGAGCCTTATGATGTGTGTCAGAGGGGAAAGCCCTGGGATGAGGAATCTTGAAATATTTTGGGCAGGTGGTTTCCTTTCTCTGTGCCAGAATCAGTCCTTCTCCATCAATCTGTTCTACAGATAAAATGACACGTTATTGTACAGATGTATTCTTGCTTTGGAGAAAGGAGAAATATGGTTGGTACTGAGGATATAGGGGTTAAACTTTATTCCAAAGCCTCTGTACCAGGAGTTAAGGACCTGGACAGTGGACAAGAGCCATTGGAGGTGGCACAGCTGAAAATTTGAATCTTCTGAGTTCAGAAAGTCATGGTCTTTCCTGATAAGTTGTTGGCAAAAGACATTGAAGTTGACCCTAGCTGCAACAGTTGAAGGCAGGCATGCAGAGAATTCTGTATCTCTTCACTAGGTATCATGCCCAGCCAGATGTCTCTTGTTCCCTTCTTTATTCCTGATAGCTTCTGGTGTGGGCATGATGGAAGGAGAAGGATAAGGACCTCATCTAAAGATCAGCTTCCATTCTCCTTTAATGAAAGAAGGCATAGCCATGACTTTCAGGAAACTGCGTGCGGCTGAGGGGAGATGTCATACGTTACAAAGCATCTTCTTGCTTTTAAGAAAATCTTTCTTACCATCCCCACTATCATTCTTATCAACATGATTGTCATTTTTTAATTCCCTTATGACAAATTTACTGAAATGACCACTATGTGCCAGACATTGAGCTAAGCACTAAGGAATGACAATAATGTTCCAGACATGCTCCTCAACTTGAAGTTAACAGCCCGGTAGGTCTAGAAGCTTGTATGTGGAAGTGGAACTGGGCTAGATGCTATCCAATTAAGCGATGTGACCTGGTTTCTGCTTTCAGAGACTTTGGGTCAGAGGAAGGCCCTCAAAAACATCAAAAGTGGAGGATTTCATACACCAAATATATCAATTTTTTTTTATCTACAGAACCCTTATTTGATTTATGGGGTTCCAATAGCAAATGTACTAGACCCTTGGTCCCAGCCTGCTCCTGGGATGTCTATAACCATCACAAATAAATGAGGACTCAAGGAATGATTTTCCCTATAAGTGTGGGTCAGAAGTACAGCCACTCCCCCAGCAGTCCCTATAAGGCTTGGTGCCTTAAAAATTGCAGGACCCGGGCTGGGGCTATAACTCAGTGGCTGACCCGCTCACCTCACATGCGTGAGGCACTGGGTTCAATCCTCAGCACCACATACAAAAATAAATAAATATAAATAAATAAGACAAAGATTGTGTCCGTCTACAAATAAAAAAAAAATTCTTTTTTTAAATTACAGGACCCTGAGGGACTAACAAGGACAAAAGTCTCAGGGAATTGAGGTAGTTCAGTCAGCAGGAAGGCCTTCTTCTCCTTCTGGCCACTCAATCCAGAAAGGCCAGGGTTGTCATAGCTGAGAGAAGTTTTCAGTTCTGAAGGCTCTCTAGCCCTTACACTGGGGCACCTTGAATCTGCCCTGTGCATCTTTTATGCCACAATAACCCACAAGAATGAAAGCTCTAATTTTTTACCCTTTGAAATATGACAACCAGAAGCAGTTGCTCAGAGGAGACTTGAGAAGTCTTGATATTCCTTGGTCCCTGGGGGACTCTTTCTGAACTTCCTGGTAAATTTCTACATGCTTACGTCTTTAGCCCCCTAGTACCAAAATAATCAAACAGAAATTAAGATGACGCAGACACAGTGTCTCTTTCTGACCTACCTCCTTTACTCAGCCTCTGTCTGAAATGTCAGGCCCAGCTCCTCAGGGAACAAAATCCTGAGGAAATGGGGTCAGAACTGAAGGAGCAGAGCAGCCAGAGAGGGATTGGGAAGGAGGGCTGAGGGAATGAATGAGGTCACGGGAACAGAGTAGGGAGGGGTCCTATCCTTCAGCACTTCTTCCCATTCTGGTAGCCTCCCTCTTCGGGTACCCCTTCACTTTTACTCCCAGGGTGACCAGATGGCCTGAATTTTGACCTTCCATGCTTTCTGTGACACATTTTGTCCCTTGCTGTAGCCCACAACATTCTTTTTTCTTTAGTTCTTTCATTAGTTCTTCATTTGGATTGGAGGAGATTCACTCCTTAACTCTCCTTTTGCTCTCAGTAAGAATCTAACTTTCTTATTAAACTGCAGCCTTTTAAAACTGAAGACTCCTCATTCTTTTTTAAAAACATTTAAAAAAATTATTTTAGTTGTTGATGGATCTTTAATTTATTCATATGCGGAGCTGAGACTCAAACCCAGTGCCTCGCACACTGGAGGTAAGYGCTCTACCACTGAGCCCCTCATTCGTAACAGTAAATCATAGGATGGATGGAAATTTTCAAATGGGCAAAAAGTAAATGTGGGGATCCAATACACTGAAATTTTAGAATATTGGGCCTAGTGGCACTCCATGAAAAATACA